GTCTAAGGCTTCTTATTAGGAATATGTTTATTTCGTACGTAATAATTAGGCTTTCAATACAATAATGTGAACTGCTGTCTATTTAATTAGTTTTTTAACAAAGCGTAGTCATCTTTTTGAAGGGATGGTAAGTCTTATGGTTTAGTGTAATTTTTTCTGAGCGTTGAGTCAGTTTCGAAGCAACTTCTCTTTTGCAAATGGTTTCTGGAATTAAATGTTGTTACGCAATAGGAAATTCCGTTTTAACTAGTTGATTTAAAATTAATTGAGCAGATGCTTACTATATTGCAATGTGGGTGCGTGTAACTCACCTCCCATTCGGGCCTGGTACTGGCGTGATGCTGGTGAAGCACACTATCCTTGTGCTTCAACATGCTATCATATTAGGTACTTTCGGCCGTCCGATCGTTCTTTTCTTAATTTGTGTTAAATCTTCTTCATTATTAAAGTAACTTTCCACTATTTACCACTAACTACCGCTGCAATTAATTATGTGAAAAAATCCTGATTAAATTTGAATGGCAAAAAGGTACCCTTAAAACTTTTTCGTACAGATCTTGAGAACTTTTGTGCCTGTAAAAATCTGAAATCCACTAAATTCAACAGCAAAACTTCTCTTTTCCTGTATACATGTGTGGGTGATTAAATACCCTAATGAATTTATAAACATTAAACATTGCTTACATTGCTCGATGCATCCCTTTTCTCGCATTTCGTTTTATGATGTCATAAAAGTGCATCAATTGCTTTACTGGTTTTTTTGGTGATTGGTTCGGAAATGAAATCTTCTGTAACGAACTCCCATGGGCTTGATGTTTCAGAAATGCTTAATTTATGATATTTTAGCTACTGTAATAAATTATTCTAGCAGTTAAAAATATATGTTGGAATAAGCTCCACTTTCGCACTCAATGGACGTTTAACCGGAACTTTTATTGAACGAACTCTGGGCAGTCATTAAGTTACTATAATAAGAAGGTAATATTTGCCTATGATTCAATCAATTATTTGCAGTAAATGTTCTCTCTGTACTTCGGTAAAGTTTTGGCCACGGATCTTTTTTTCCATTGTTAACACAAACATGTAAATTGACTTGAAATTACAAATAACAAGAAAGAAAAGCCAATTCTATATGATCAAAAAAGTAGGATCTGTAAAAAAATCACACATTTCCATAAAAGTACAACTTTGCTTAATCACTTTGGTTAGTTAATCAAGGAGTTTTTTTGTTTTGTGCATACCAATCTAATAATCAAATGTTTAATTTAATCATACTGATTAACTAACGGCCTGATTATTTATTGTTTGTGCATTCGGCCCTAGACTAGAAACCAGTTTCGAAAGAAAATTCAAAGGGCTGTAACTTTTGAACTAGTAGCCCAATCTTGGAACTGTTTGAAATTATGGATTCTACAGGCCACATTCTATAAGAAAATGTTTTTTTCCGGTCGTTCTGAGACAATTTTTTTTTCGGGTTTCAACAAAAGGCAGTGTGTAACCTTCCTTTTTTACCAAAAATCGACTGCACCAAAATTTCTCGGGCAAACGCTTTTTCTGATTAATTTTCGTGCGTAGAATCCAAAACAATTCGTACTTTTTCGATCAGACCTCTCAATCAAAAGTTATATGGGCCGAATGCACAAAAGTTAATCAAAGCTTAACGGAGCTGTTAACTCATTTGTTTCGATAAAAAAATGACATTTGTCTTGATTAAATTAGTTAATTTAACGGAACTGTTAAACCACGATTAGGCTACAATTCGTATGCACAAAAAAAAATTAGCATTAACGGCACCGTCAAGCCTCTAATCACGGCAATATTTAACCGGTGCTTGTCGACTGATTAAACGGACAATTTGTTCATAATTTTCGATTTGAGCTTGTGAAAAGTAATTTTTTTGAATAATTAGGCTTCATCTAATAGTTTTGAACATCATTTTATTTAAATAGAAAATGTATTCATTTCTTTAATTGACTCGCTTAAACGCGTTTTCTAAAATTCTTCTTCATAAGGAGAGTGTAGTATTCCACTCGAGCATTCTTCCACTGTTGAAGGTGGTAGTTTTTTTTAAATTGCTGCAAACTGACCTCTTATTTTGGATTTGAGGTCTCCGTTTTGGAGCAATAATTCCACGTTTTGGAGTACATGGACGGTCAGCTGTGGAAGAAAATGAAAAGGATAAGTATTTTGAGACCTTTAAGGACTTTAAGGACTCATTATCTATAGCATTTGTTATGCCGGTGATGCTGCTTTCGATTCCTCCTCCAATTTTCTTTCTCCCCACTTTGGAAATAAGAGGTTAGGTTATTTTTTCACACTTTTTCGCAAGTAAAGCTTCTTCTGGAAACTTTTCTATAACTTGTTGCGCCAGTTCTCGATCAAAAGCTTCTTTAATTGCCCTCGACACCTTTCTTTCTAAAAACGTACCAATGATTAAATACCCTAATGAATTTATAAACATTAAACATTGCTTACATTGCTCGATGCATCCCTTTTCTCGCATTTCGTTTTATGATGTCATAAAAGTGCATCAAGTGCTTTACTGGTTTTTTGGTGATTGATTCGGAAATGAAATCTTCTGTAACGAACTCCCATGGGCTTGATGATTCAATCAATTATTTGCAGTAAATGTTCTCTCTGTACTTCGGTAAAGATTTGGCCACGGATCTTTTTTTCCATTGTTAATACAAACGTATAAATTGACTATTAAATTACAGATAACAAAGAAGCAAAGCCTTCTATACGATCCAAAAAGTAGGCTTTGTAAAAAAATCACACACCGTTAAAGGCGAATCAAAGGCCACAAACGATTCTAAAATTGAAAAACCACATAAACGACAAATTTAAATGAAAGTATATGTGTTGGTTATTTAAGCTTAACTGAAGCTTACATTCTTTGTGTATCTTTGTGTCTTTGTTGTTTCGTAGCATGTACTTATTGTAGCGGACATTACGTTTGTGGATCTATTGTCCATATTCCGAAGCTTTTCGGCGATATCTTATCAATCAAAGCGTCAAAAAAAGTAATCAAACGTTGGAACAATTAAAACGAATCAAGTCGATTAGCGAGTGTTCCGGATTTCCGTCTTTCCAAAAATGGAGTGGAGCAGTTCGACATCGAACCAAGTTATAATATAATTTATCTATAATATATGGCAGTTTTGATACTGAAAAAATAAGTTATTAAATTTCCTGACAATATGCCCTAAGACAAACTTCCCCTAATTTGAATTTAACGTTGACCCAAATTTTCCGTTTTCCTAAGGCCCTCCAATCAAGATGCTATGTTCAATGACAAACGGTCACTAAACACCCCCATAAACACCTATCCAGCAGGCTAAATTAACCTCAGGTACACTCTTTCACATGAAAATTCTGACTATAAAATGTCTCAAGTCACGCCCGGTATCTGCTACTATGAAAATCTCAATATTGACTTAACGTTATTAATTTGAGAAACTCAGCAGCCTTGATCACTTCCACAATTCCAAATAATTATTTAACAAATTAACACTTTACGTAATTTTGAGTACAAATAGAAAATTTATCTTATCCGGAGCTCGATTAAACCAAAGGTAATCATTTACAGATGAAACAAATTTATTCAACATAAATCAATCTATAAAGCTGAAATAATAATAGGCACTCAGAACCAGAGTACAAATACCGCGCACATGCGTTCAATTGAAACAAGTTAAAATTAAAAGAAAATTGACTTAAAGTTAATAATCCCTAATATCCGGCCATACTCTTTAAACAGATCACTACCCAAACACCAGGTGATGTGACTTCGACAATTTACTTCTTTACTTTTTCATTATTCTTGATTTAAACGACCCTGACTTTTTAAACGACCTTTCTTCTATGACAAGAACTTTATGATTATTAAGACTGATTCTTCTCCAAAAAGCTTCGATTGCAGAAAACACTCAAAATACCTCCACCAAATAAAAACGCTTGAACAAAAAGCTACGTTTCCCGCGTGCTAGATCTTGATAAAACATTCTTCCATTCTCTCATTTCCGCTCCTCTTTTCTCTTCTAATTAATACGTCGTCGAACGATAAACTGAACACCTGTGTTTTCTTCGGCGAAAAAACATTGCTCATCTTGAAACTAATTAGCTTAACGTAGCTACAACGAACTCTTATCGCACTTACCTTTACAACTACAAACCAAAGTAAACAAAGCGATTATTTAAACAAGATTAAACACCAAATCCTCACGGTCTATCTATATACCATTTCCACATTTCCACCTTTTGATGACATTTCTATTCCATTTCTGACGGTTTTTACATTTTTATGACATTGCTAAATACCTATATGAAATAAATACATGTTTACTAAAATTTGCTCAACTTAATGATATACAATTTAGTGCGCCGTTATACAAGGCGTATCTCTAACTTGGAATAAATTCAGTAAATAAAAGGTTTTTTTTTCGGTAATATGATGTGTGTAATAGAATTTTATACAGGGTGCCTCAAATTTTAAACATGGCGTCATCGACTACATAAATAACTTTATTTGAAGTACCTAACTTTAATATTCCTAAAGCAATCGACCCGTGAAAACCATTTGGATTAACAGATTTTGTATTGTACTTATTGAAAAGAATCGAATTCCAACAGGAGAAGTGCATTCAATCTACGTGGCTACATTGAACATTTATTACTAAAGGTAACACCTCAACAACACCACTGCGGTCATATGCTAAAAGGCCATCCTTTGGTTGTCGTACTTATAAATAACTATGGATTATCCTAGTTCTTACAAATTTATAATATGTTTATAGTACGCTGTATAACAAAGGCGATTCTTGCACAAAGTAAAAAAGTGTACCACAAAAGTAGGTGTAACTTAATAATATTTACGTATCAATTGAGGTAATTACGAATATTTATAAACAGAAAGTTTACATTGCAAATAAGTGCTTTGTTTAACGCTTTGTAAGTTCGTAATTGAATCTTAAAAGCGACGTACGTTTTAAAGTAGTGCAAGTGCAAGTGATGTATATTAGCGCTATAGTAATGACCTAAAAATTTCTGTGAATATAAAGTAGCGTTAATTTGCAGATTATGATAATTTTTATATTCCTATTGTGTGTTTCCATTCATATACCAGCCGTAAAGTAAGGAATGAGGTTCAAGGATTATTTAAATATTCTAGAATAATATTGTCATAATTGGCGACGTTTTCGCGCGCTTTACCCCAGATTTAGAGGCCAATTAATTCTGCAGAATCCGAATCGCGCATACCATTAAGACGGCTTCAATTAATCTAGTAAATAGTGTTAAAGCCATATATCACCGCGTTCTATTTACTATGCGTGGCTGCACAGCGTAGCATTTCCAATTATTGTAATGATAGGAAGATGCTTCTTTAATAATTATGTAATGACGGTACTTGATTTGCGGCGTCTGAGCTCTAATTGAGAAGATTCTGCTCTATAATGCGAAATATCCTTTTGCTGCTTCCCCCGAGATACGTAACGATATTGTCAGATCGTTCTCAATTTAACAGGATATTGTGCGAAATACGTATCGTTACATCATAGTTTACGATTGTTATAGGTTTTCTCCATCGGCATCTTTTATAACAAGAAAGGGTAGTTTCGTAATTAACTAAACGAATACTGGACATTGTGCTCGACATTTACGTTACATTTTTACGACCTGTTCTGTTGTAATTATCTGATATCGATCGCTTGTTACCGTTTGCTTCCAATAGAGGAATATTGCAAAACGTCTTCAAAAATCTGCGCGAGTGAGAGAGAGCACACAAAATTAAATATCAACTAGGATTTTCTGATCCCTAATCTTTTGACGTACTACACTTTCTTCTTAAACTAATTTTAGTACCGTTTGTAACCGAAGTACAATGAAGCAGTGCGTAATCTTACAATGCAATAAAACCAATGTGAAGTAACGCTAATGTAAATTCGCAATGGAGTAGAAAAAATTGTGTTAACGTTATAATTACAGTATAATGAAAGCGGTGTTATTTTTCGAGGCTTTTAATTTGTAACTTTCCTAATCTTCACAAAACAATGGAATAATGTCGCCTTGCCGTATTTATTGGCGGCAGCGAAATTGGGGATGGAAGTATATCAACTATTGCTTCAGGTCGAATGCGTTAAATTCTCACACTACTTAAAGGAAGGAAGAGACGATTGCGATAGACATTTTAAATCTCATTTAGAGTACAATAATTTCAATTTAGACAAGATGAACTAAATTAACAGCAGTTAGTTACTATGGAAGTACAGCAAGTTGCGCAACTTTGAGAAGACATCGCATCGTCATGTTGTAATGCATTTTTATCGGATTAAGAAAGACCCGACGTTATTTTAGAATGCCGACTGGTTGTATAATGTTGTTGCATTTAGGGCCCAGTTTAGAGGAGTCACGCAGATTTTTTCCTTAATTAGTTTCCTAGTCATGATAACCTTTACGCTGGCCGCGGGCGCGCAGATATCGAAAATGGATCGATTTAAAAAATCATCGATTGTATCTGCACCATTAATCAACTTTTGCCATTTTACCCCCCCGGCTTTGAATATAGCTCCAAAGCCTCCGGTCTTTGCGGAAGGAACATTTTAGTTTTAGGCTACTTTAATAGATAGAAAGTTATCATGTCTCGTTCGTGTTTCTGTTTGTAATTAGCAAATGGTTTGCATTGACATTTACGTGAAAAGAATACAAGGAACTTAATTACCTACATTCGATCTACCGATTTGTTAACGTTAAATCGAATGCTCGCGTAAATATTGTAGGTATCGTTTAGAGCTACGCTCCTCTAAAAATTTTGTTTATTGCATAAGTAGCTTTTGCGTATAGTTTTTGTACCTTTCCTTAGTGATAAAATCGCACAATTTCGCCCAATTATATGCATTTCACACTCTACATCAGATGTATCATTGTGCGCCAGACTTGGCCATCCTTCACACCTAATTTCACTTTGATGTTTTCTTTTCCACTTCTATCACTAGTTACATGTTCCAAATTTAGGCAGTCTAGAGGAACAACTTAAGCAACATTTTCGAGAATCATTCCCATAAGAAATGCGAAATTTATACTACTAATATGGTAACTAAACGGTAGCCTGTATAAATATGGAGATATTTCTAATAGTCGGAGAGGTATGATGACAAAAAACGTTACATTGCACGTTTAGGTCTCTTACACCGTAAGCTTTGATTTGACCTTCAGCACTTCATTTCTGATGGTGGCAGACTCAATGCCGACACTTCGAGTTCGACAATAATGGAGGTCAAAATTTTAGATCATTTTAAAACAAAATTCAAGTTATGGTTTTTGCAAGATACTTTTACCACTGATTATACATATGGTACCTTTTGCAGTTACCTTAGACCAGGCCTTAGACTGTTTAACAATTTGGCACTATATAATAGGGCGGGCCGAAAGAAATGATTTTTGAAATCTCAATTGTCATAGAAAGGGTAGACACAAGTATACTGATTTTTTCTAGCCGCGCCTCGGGGCTTTTTTTTTTCAAAGTCACATTTTGGATCTGTCGCAGTAGAAAACGGATAGGAATTAGTTCACCTGTGACACAAAAAATTTGGTTGATATATTTTAACTTTTAGCCGCGCCACCGGGACGCTAAAAATTATTTCTCCCAAAGTCACATTTATTCACACACAATTGAATTAAAAATTGGTAAACCCCTCCAGTGGCTAATTTGCTTATTGCACACCAATGAGCTACCCCTACGCCATTTGCTGCAAGAAATTGACAGCCACATTTTCTGGTCCTGTAGGATCATTACTAAATGACTGTGAAAAGAAACCTGTTACTGATTTTGAACCGATTGATATGAGGTTTCCAGAAGTTGACGAAAAGGATCTTAAGCACCGATTAGCAATATGTTTTCAAAATAATTAGTGCTACTCGGAATGGAAAATGTGACAAGAACTTGTCCAAAAAATTACGTGGAAAAATTAGTCACGCAAGGTGGTTGACAACAGCTAACAGGCTACTCCGCCTTGATATTTCTTACAGAACATCCGTCAGAATCTCTTAAAATCCTAACAGAGTATGTTGTCAGAGTACATGCAACAATTTCGTTTGAGCCTTTTTGTTAGTATTGCGCTAAGCATATATGGAAGATGATATATCTGCCAAGGGGCTTCCCAGAATGTGTTAAAAAAGTTATTGATAAGGTAACTGCATCAAATGGGTACTTTGCCCGTCCCGAAAACATTTTACTAGTAATGCTTACTGATAAGAGATATAGGATACATAGAAAAATTAGCTGTAAAACTAAAAGTACGCCCAGGCTGAGGTGGAGGAGGGCAGTACAAATATACATGTTTGAGTTCCTGCAATAAACTTTGAAGCAGCTAACTATATCGATCTAATAGATTGGTTTCATAGCAGTACGACTATCACTGGTTTAACATAGCTCTTTAAACTTTTACATTTCTTTTCTAATGTTCTTATTTTATTGCTCAAGAATTTGATCTGTTATTGGAAGTTTTTTTTCTGTTGGTCAATTAACTATTATTATTATAAATCAATCACAGAGCCTCCAATTACTAAACACTTAAATCTGGAAGAGCTATTGAAGCTTCTTAAGGAAAAATTACATTTCCTAAATTTCCTCGTCACACATAAACCGGGGAAAGGAGCGTAAATCTAGTGACTGAAGCATCTTCCAAAGTTTTTTGGGAACACTAAATATGGATTCATTAGGTCGAATGAAATGTTGCCTTCGTTTGAGAACAAAAGTCATTATTTCGCATCTTTTTTGGAGGATAGCGCGGGAGGGTGGATGGTACTCGACATGTAGCCACTTCCTAGTGGTGAGTTCTGGGTTAATTTGGAACTCAAGAACAATTTAATAGGGTTTTGCCTGAATAATGAGTCACAAATTAAGCGAAGAATGTTTGTGGGTCAAAAGTGAGGTCATACCTATCAGTGTTTTGCTATGACAAATCAAAAATATGACTAAATCTTGAAAAAAATAGGTTAATAATAATAATAATAATAAGTGACATTTATTAGATACTGGAAGTACAGAAGGAAATAAACATAACATAAACATTCAAATAGATAATAAACTAAATAATTAAAATTAAATGAAATTAATGTTCCGTAATCTAACGGGGCGAAGTTCAGTTCTGTGGTGAGACACTCTAGAACTGCTCTACCACTTAACCCCACCCTAAACTAAGAAAATAAAACAATTAGTGGAATGAACTTAAAAATATGTATATTGAAAGGGAGAGAGAGATAAATAATACATTCGTGGTTCTAAATAAAGAAAAAGAAAAGGAAAAGGGGAAGAAAAATAATCAATTGTTTTGCTCGCGTAGAAGTAAATGAAAATAATTTCGTTTAAATGCGCCTTTTTCTTTTCTTTTTATACAGGGTGTCCCTAAAAGGTCTGTACAATGCGTTACCAGGGGTTCTTGGTATCAAAATAGGACGATTTAACCCAACTTACCTCTATCCAAAAGTGCCTCGGTAAGGCGCTATCTACCGCCAAAGATTAAAAAAAAAATCGTTATTTTTATTTTATCGGAAAATGGTTTTGCCGATTAAAATGAAATTCGGGATGTGAATGTCTAATGTAAAAAGGGTCTTTGTGATATCATCGTTTTGATTGTAGTTGCTATGTAGGTGGTAAAATACTGACCATCCACATCTGAAGAGGTCTAAAACTTTTTAACTACTATTTTGACGGTTCTGAATTTTTAGACACTGATAGACAGTTTACTTGCAAGCATTTTTTGTCTCTTGATGAATATCGCTATCTGTGATGGTTTACGAAAAAAAAAAATTTAGGCATGATGAATGGCATGCACCATACATGCGATTGTTCCTAAAAAAAATCAGAAGATGGCTGTGAAACCTTAGAGTGGCGTAACGTTTGTTTGTTGTTTCTTAAACTTGAACAATTTACGTTTTGCTTGAAGACTTAAAATTTTATTGTTAAAATTGTAATATGGCCTTTCAATACAGTAACGCAGAGTTAACTGATATGCTATTAGTGTTTGGATACTGTCGTGGAAATGGTCGCCAATGCGTTAGGGAGTATACTCACAGAGACAAAAAATGCTTGCAAGTAAACTGTCTATCAGTGTCTAAAAATTCAGAACTGTCA